GTACATTTTAGCCCCTGTGCTTTTACATCTCAAGCAGCCGACGGAAGCTTAACCATGGTAGGACTTCTTTATGAATTCCTCCATCTTCGTGCTAGTTAATAGGCCGACCATCTCGGGTTTATAACGAGCCTAGAACGCTTTGTCCCTTCAGTTGCATCGCCATGACTTTGAAAATACTCCAATTTTGTTTATAATCGGCATTTTTCTTCATTACTTAAAACGCATAGTTTGTAAAACCTTTTCCTCCAAAGGAGTGAGTGCATAAAGAAAGTAAGAGGAATCTTTGGGCCGTTATTCGTTGTCAGTCTTTTCAGATGGGTTTTGGGCCTTTTTTGTACTTACTACTAACGCAATCTTTGATATTTTTGTTTGTTTAAAATACCCTTTGTAAACTGTTTTTTTTTTAAATATGAAAGGTTCTTTTGATAAATTCACTTGATGCACTGGGGGCGAAACTGGCGGCCATGGTGGGATGGGAATTCACGAAAAAAGATGAAAGCTTTAGTACAGCTAACTTTCTAGACCCATAAGCCACGAGGCCTCACCGACAGGCGTGAGTTTTATCAGCCTTGGGTCACCCAGCCTCCTGCAACGCATGGAAACCAGCAAATAATTTGACTGTCCAAACAGGATTTTCTACGAAACTAATCGTAGGTCCGGTGGTTAGAGGGTCGGCCCTATTGCCTTGTTTTCAAATCCCATATCGGTCGTCGAGTATTTCACAACAGGCTAAAATGAATTATTAAAATCTACCAAAACCCCGATTTCGTTTAGGTTAGTTATTGAGAATGACATTTAACTTTTTACTTCTATCATCCTCATTTGGCCTATACTTTTTCGGATTCCCTCTAGCTTATTTTGCGATTTCTTCTACCCAAATTCGGGAGGGGTGGAAAGCCATATCTACCAGTTGGCTCAATGTTTGCTCGTGCGTAATCACCGAATAATTGTTGTCACTCATGCGTACGGTGAAGGCTGGCAACGTCAGGGCATCCGCTACATGGCTCGGGGTCTAAAGGTACATAATTTCCCTATTTTTTTCGCAGCTTTGCGGTGAAACGTTTATAGCAGATCTGTTATGTGTCTGGCGTACCCGTTTGCGTACAGTAAGAAGTGTATGAGCTGCAAATAACAGGCATACCAATTTCTCGCTAGAATCCCTTCTTTCCTCTTCGTTCTCCTCCTCATTCTCATTCTTATCCTTTCGTTGTTGGTTTTCTTCGTTCTCCTCCTCCTTTTACTCATTCACGTCCTTCCTTCCTTTATTTCTTCCTTTCATCTTCTGTTTGTTTTTGTTTTCCTTATTATTGTTCTTCTTCTTGTTCTTCTTGTTCTTCTTCTTCTTCTTCTTCTTCTTCTTCTTCTTCTTCCTATCTACTTTTGTTTTCCCATCGATCCATTGCTTGCGCTAAACGACAAGAAGTTAGCATGCACTTCCCTTATTCATGTCCAACTTCTATTCTCCAGAGGAAGATGTTCCCCCTTTTAGATATACTACATACCGTATCGTCCGTTTTTCAATCAGGCTGTGTTCATCACGCTGTACGGACTGCTCCCAGTGATACGTGACATACTGATTCGCGAGAAGGTTGATATCGTACACGGACATTCGGTAGGTTTTTTTTGCGAAAAAATCCTTGCAAAAGGACGGCCTAACGCCGCTACTCAACCTGACCCGAAAGGTTTCTTTGGATTACTTCTACCTATTCCCCCTTCACAGGCCTTTTCTCCGTTGGCAATGGAGGCTCTGATGCATGCCAAAGCCCTCGGTCTGCGCACTGTCTTCACAGACCACTCCCTCTTTGGGTTTGCGGACCTCTCCTCCGTTCTGGCCAACAAGGCCCTCTTCCTCTTCTTGAATGTCGTTGACAGTTTCATATGTGTGTCTAATGTGGCAAAAGAGAACACCGTTCTGCGTGGGGGCATGAGTCCAGATCGTGTTTACGTTATCCCCAATGCAATCGACTCATCCGCCTTTACTCCTGATCCGGCCGCGAGAGATCGAGACAATGGTTACTCTCAGTCTTTTCTATTGCCTCATGCATCTACACTCCCCATGGCCTCTCCAGCCTCTGCTTTATTGTATATGCATTTTTTTAAAAGGATAAGCCACGTCATCATTTAGTTAATAAGTCGTTAATCCCGCAAACAGTATCCGACAACTCATTCCACCGAGTAGGAACGTCTGTATGGCCAAACACGTTCATGCGGTGGAAGAAAATTCGGTCAAACAGCTTTTGTTACTGAAGTTAGGTTACTTCATTAAAGGTTAGTTGTGCGTGGTCAAAAAGATTCACACAGTAGAAACAATAATTTGTTAAACTGAAACTGTTCCTTGTTTATGAGCGATGCGATTCCCTAAACTTGGCTCCATTTGCATTTGAGCAAATTCGGACTAAATTTTCCTCCTCTGGAAGGGATATGTTTTAAACTTTTCTTACTTATTTTGGCGTCCCCTAACACCATAATGCATGTTAATAAAAACTTTGGTTCTGTCGTAAGTAATAGGATAGGAAATTTCTTTGATATCAGGTTACTCCCGATTTGGCCAAACATAATGCCTATTACCGTCAATAAACGGAACTAAAAAGGCAGGATTCCTTACTAAAAGGCTTTCTCAGGATTAAATCCTGTCAGTGGATCAAAATAACGTAGTCAAATGTATGTAAAAATATCAAGTCAAATTCTGCCATGACTTTTGCCTGTCGCCCTCGCCATACTGTACACCACCTGGTCAAAATCTACACTTGAAATAGTCGCCTACGTGATCGTACACACATTACCCCATCTTTAATAAAATAGTTTTGAGTGTTCCATATTGAAGAGAATGTGCTTCGGTAAACCTCGGTTGCCTCCACCAGTAAACCCAGATGTTATGCCTAATTGGTTGGAGAGGGAGGTATGCGTGACCAGTTTACGTTCCACGCCCCTGCGTTCCTTTGAAAATATTTGATTCTAACGTTCCGATTTTTTTTTCACCCTCAGTTACAATTATTGTCGTCAGTCGTCTTGTCTACCGCAAGGGTACCGACCTACTTGCTGCAATCATCCCGCCCATCTGTTCAACTTTCCCGAACGTCAAATTTATTATAGGTTAGTTAACTGACCAACCAGCCGCATGTTGCGTATTTTTACTATTTGTACAGTATACTCTGGTTATTTTATCATTCGCTTCATTCAGGTGGAATGTGCGCAACATTCTGCTTCACTGGTCCAGGTAATAATTCTGAGTCAGAACGTAGAAGATAGGACTCGCGGGGTTAGGAAGGGGGGGGAGAGGGGTCAGAGTCATCGTTTGGAACAGGCAACGGAACGTTCTATTTATCGCAGGTTCGGTCAAGTGGCCTGCCAGTGCAGACGTTTCCAGGCATGTGAGCTGGTCAAGCGTGAGAGCTTACAACCTCGGAACTTCCATGTGCTGTTATCATGGAGATGGAAAAAACCAGGACTGTGCTGATCGGCAGTTGATGACCCGTGAGAAGGGACAGCGATAGAAGTCCTGACATTGATAGATAACTTCCTTTTGCTAGCTTATTCACCAACGCGTCTTACCTCAGGAACTGTGGTTAACTAACCCGACCACTTGATCTGTCCGAAATCTTTTTGACCCGATGTAAACGAGTAAACTGGCCCCAGCCGTGTATGTTTACTTTCTTAGTAATACCCAGCTCAGGTATCAAATAAAGACGTGAACACCTGTTTTCACGACTACATAACAAATTGAAGACGAGTTCAGTTTATAAGTAGACAGCCCGATGTTTTATAGAAATCTCAACAAACAGACCGGTGGACCAGCAGTATCGTGTCGCGACTGGTTTTTTGAATGTACTTTTTTGTGCCTTGGGCGTTTTCATGGGCTTGCTAGGCTCTACAGTATAAACCATAGAGATTTGCAGCTTTATTCTCCAAACCGACATCGTTCTCCCCCATGGTGTCTTCCGATATGTGCGATAGTGATTAGAATAGGGTCGTTAAAATTGGACGCCACCACATAGCTCGCTTTTTGGCGATTAACTTAGGCAAGAAATTTTCTTACTAGTTATTAACATGAAAACTAGGTACGCCATCAAGGTCTGTCGCCTCCTATGTAAAAATACGCGGTTCGCCTCTAATCAGAAGAATGTAACTGCATTTGAAAGTACGTTGCGATATCGTCAACATATCTGGTTTGGAGATTGGTTCACATCGTTAGTTACTTTTCGTCTTTCGCCCTTCGATCGAAGGCAGTTGTACGAACAGTGACAACTTTCGATTTTTTTGAAGCAAAGATTGGATCGCAGTAAGGTGCAAGGCGTTTCGGCTTTTGCTTGCATTAGCTTTTCAACCGGTAGACTTTCTGTCCCGTTAATCAATACGTTGGGGCAACAGCTACCAAAAATTCTGAAGGCTAGTTTGGCGAGTACACGTATACTTTCGACAAATTCTCGTCAGGTCC